ATTTATGTTTGTCACCTCAGAACTTTCGACTGATAAAACCGCTTTTGACGATTATTTTTTTTATTTGAAAGCTGGTGCTTCCCATGTGGTCCCATATTAATTTCATTGGTAGATGCTTAGGGAACTCCTGAAAATAAATTATAAAGTAATAACCATTTTTACAAACGGATAACAAAACCGACTTCAAATATCTCGCTGTCTCGCATGGTAGCGGCGGTAAACACTTAACATTAGATGAACTCTGCGCTGGATAAAGCAAGCGCTACGGGCCCCGCCGTAGCAAATTCTTTCAAACAGCCCTTGATCTGCAACGGGTTTCTTAAGTATAAAGTGGTAAATAAAACAATTCAATACTCTTACTTAGTAAATAAGTTTCACTCAAAAAATAAAAGCTCAGGCAGGGATGAGTGGGTTTAAATATGCGGGGGGCCCCCGTAGCAAATGCTACACTTACTGCTTGCTTCACAACTTTACACATAAAAAGAATGTTTTAAAAAGCAGCGTCCTGAATAAGAAATGCTCGCTCTCCCACGGGACCTTGGTAGTTTCCGCATGGCTTCAAAATTGATGGAACTTTATGGTTAGAGGGAATATTTTCGCCAAGAGCCCTTTTAAGAGCATTACCGAATGAACAGTTAGGGTGAAATTTCTAAGAGACTCAAAAATTGACCTGCAAAACTTATTCAATTACTAAGGCAATGGAAACTTTTACTTTCAACGCTAATAATAATACTGACGAAAGATTTAAATATTCATAGCGGATGGTTCTCAAAAGAGAGCCTCAACAAGTGTTTTCGCAATATTAAGAACGACTACATTGCTAATAAAACTTGGTAGGCGTTATTTATTTTCCTTTCATTAAAAAACAAGAAAATATAAATATAATATAAATTATTTTAAGCGAAATGAACCAATGAAAAGGTGAATAAATGACAAACACTTTGTTTGCATTATTTTGAAATAATACCAGTGTTTATTAGCCTGGAAATTCTTCAGATTCGACGAACACAAAAGAGGGTATCTCGGGTGGCAAATTCTCGAATTTAGCGTCGAGGAAAGATATCATTGCCTCATGGGATCATGGTTACTTCGGTGAATGGGGGCTTTCACGCTTACGGTCCGGCGGAAGATGCCTGGGGTATAGCGTCGCGCAATTATGAGCCATATTTCTACAAGTTATAATTTTTAAAGAAAATACTGTTTGAATATAGTACTAAGCTACGTTGATCAATAGCGCTTCATAAGCCTTCATATATATAACTAGCTGACCCGGCAAGCGTTGTTTTGCCATATAAATTATTTGTAAGGTAGAAAAAAATGTTTGGGGTGTACCACCCTTAGCATTTAGGGAGATTAAAAATTGATCTTGTCCGATTCTCCACCCTGGCCGATATGCACACAAAATAACACGAAAATCGGTCGAACCGTTTCGGAAGAGTTCAATTACAAACACCGTAATACGAGAATTTTATATATTATATATATATACACGCGTAGGATTGTAATGGCAACAGTTAGTTATACAAGGAAATAGACATAGGAATATCACCTTACATCAGGTCAACCACCAGCTCGCTTGCCATCTTCTTACATTAAATAAAATGCGCTGATACTCTCTGTACAGAGTAGGCATTTTCCCAGCGGGACATATACAGGCTGATGTGGGGTGACAGTACTTTTGTAAAGAAAAAGACGTCTCTGTAAACTAAAAGCGAAAAAGTGAAAAAGTATAAAACAACTTAAGACCTCATTTATTAAAAAGTATAACTAACCACTCTTTTCTTATGGTAGATACAATATTTCAATGTTAGTGATTGCCTTTAGTGGCAGTCAATACTGTAGCTTGTGTATAAGACTATCCTAAAGATTTTAAACTTAAGTCGTATTACGTTTTGTCCCGTGACTATCAATACTGTTAAAGGTTCAAAACATTCGTATATTAGAATCATCATCATCATGAGCTAAAAGACGTCCAATCTTGAACAAAGAACTCCGAGCGGCACTCTGCCATTTCGCGCAACTCTTAGGAAGTCGTAAATCTTCGTTGTATCGTTGTCTTAGCTGATGTTTTTGTTTTCATTCCCGAGACTATTAAAGCTTCATCTGACGCAGAACCGGTGGGCTAGCCGGAACCCACGGGCTTGGGCTTAAGTTAATCGCTCGAAGAACTGATGACCGATGGGAATATCTAAATATTCTTTCGAAATATTTATAATTTTATTTGTGGTGTTTCGTATTCAAAATTTTAAGGGATATTAATTTCTCATTTTTTCGACAGCGTACTTTGTTTTTAAGTTAATCTAATAATAAATACCGTTACTGAATGTTGAAAGTCATAAAAAATAATTGTTTGAGATAAGATTTATCATTGTGTTACTTATTTTGTGCTATAAAATTTATTCGTTCGCTATGTAAATCTATTACGATTTTATTTTTAATTTTACTTTACAAAGACTTTCGTAGAAATGAGTGCCTGTTTTTTCTTCTAATGCTTTTTCGCGTTTTATTAGTGTAGCTCTAACAATGGCATTAAGTAATAAACCTGAAAATATCTTAAAACCTATCAAACTGTTCACCGATGTCGACAGCTTAAAAAATGAAAACGAGGAAGTGCAGAAAAACTTAAGGCGGTCAATACGATTCACACACAAAAAGTTTGCTATCATTAAGATTGGCTTGTCCTATTGTGGCGCGTACGTTAAGACCTCGCATTTATCTTCATTACAAGCGCCTAATATGATACGGGGGTTAACGTTCTGACCTACCAAAATCGACTCAATAATACGGAATATACTGTGAGCCAGTTGCGACAGTGTCGAAACGGGAGATAGATAAAAGGCATTCGTAAAATTACTTTTAATTAGCAAAGATGTGGTTGAAGTTAAGTTTTTTGTGCATACTCTACTGTGGTGTTACAGTAAGTATTTAAATTAGTGGCTTCTTGTAAAGGAAAACCACGTTTAGCATTAGTGCGAAGGAGGCGACGAAAGTGTACGACAATTTCACGCGAAACTACGGGTTAAATTTTACTCGCTCTTACAGACGTAAACGTTTAAATTCCTTTGTATTTTTTGAACATATTTTTAAAACAACCTTTTAAATTGCATACCTGAGTAAACAATCCGCGGTTCACGTGGTGGACTGTACCCTATAAATGATACTTTTTCCCAGCAGTGGGACCTTTATGTTTTTTTTTTTTTAATGGAAAGCGGCGATCCACCCGTTGTTAGATGTGACCCGCTGCCCATGAGCATTTGCAACACCCGTATAAGTCGACTCCGGATACCTCATCACCAGACGAAACTCAGAAGTATAATACTTCCTCTCCACGCCGGTCTTCTGTGGGGTAGTGGTACTTCCCCGGACGGACCTGCCTAATCATGCAACAGCGAGGACTGCTGCTTTCTCCTACCACAGTATTTTTTTTACTTCCTACTAATATTATAAAGGCGAAAGTTTGTATGTATGGATGGATGTTTGTTACTCTTTCACACAAATACTACTGAATAGATATTAATGAAACTTTACAATAATATAGCTTATACATAATAATAAGACATGGACTATAATTTATATATAATATATATATATTATATATAAATTATAAAAAAAAATATTTTATGCCTTTTCTACGCAGACGTAGTCGCGGGCAGCAGCTAGTTACTTTATATTCCGCTCACTCTCAAAGTTAAAGTTCTTAAAGTTCGTCAATCCGCAGTGGGGCCGCGTGGTGGACTATGGCCTGATAGAGAGTGCTCTAAAAGTGAAGAGCTCTCTGTAGGAGAGCCTTTGCCCATTAGTGGGATATGTATAGGCTGTTACTTTTTTACTTTTTTTACTTTATAAAAGTATTTATTATCACTAAAATTTCGTATTTTCGTTTAATCATTCATCAACTGAATAAAAATAAAAAATAAACTATGCAATTGCTTTCTCAATGGACTGACGATTTTCTTAAATTTAACTTTTGTCTGTTTTCATAAACATTCCCATTATATGCTATTGTACATACATAGCGAATATAGCGAGTGCATATCGTACAAAGCGAATACATAGCACATACAACAATTCGTAACGGCAAAACTTTCCGTCAAACGAGATACTGCATCTCATAAACTCATTAAATTGCGACGTTTTAACTATTTTATCTACGTACGTTTGGGATCGTGATGACCTTACCCGTTCTACATTCACGTTGTTTTGTACTCATCCGGCTAATTTAGTGGTCCCCGTATATTTGATCTCTCATTTTCTGCAAGCAGTATTAATAGTTCCAAATGAACTAATTTTCCCACGTACGATTGTTTACGTTCTTAGTTCAATGTTCGACGATTTTCTATTTCAAATGTTATATCTTTCTCTTCCCGCTTGCTCAAAAGTCATATGGCTTTAGTGGTGCTACTTTGGTTTTCGTTTTAGAGATATTTCATGAGGATATGCATATGTTGAGTCTATTATACATCCGTAATATTGTATTATGTATGTATGTACCTCTCTTTCTCTCTTATGCCCATACGACTTTACATATGGAGTGCCATTAGTTTCGTTTTAGTTTTATATATGGCATATTCGTCAATATTAATTTGAATGTAGAAAAAGGTTTTGCCCAGTAGAATCTCTATTTTAATATATTTTTTTATCTTTTCAGTGAATTATTCTTTTATAGTTAAAACTTGTTTACTAGTTTTAAGCAGAAAAGAAATCAGCATTTAATGAAATTAGGTAAAGATTCAGATTTTCCAAATTTCGATTTAATTCAAAAGCAAGAAATACATATTTGTCATATATTAGAGTGTATTGTTGAACCACGAGGTATTTCTACAAATTCTCTATCATTTACAAACAAGTAACTTGCCAGTGCATTACTTTTTATAGCAAATACTGGTCGAACGAAATCTAAAAAGCAATTTTGAATACGTTAATGACGATGACAATTCTTCTGTTTTATCGTTCAGCTGGCAACGTCAACAGACGTGGGCGGCGTTATATCTGGGAACCGTATGGCAGGAGTACCTTTGGGGCGATCTCTTGGCGACGGAGAACTGGACGTTGAAGGTATTTGCGAGAGGTCGGGCATGACATGCCTGAACTGCACTGTCGCAGTCACATGCGTCGCTCTGCCCTACGGCTTTCTGAAGGTAACTAAATAACAGCCTGTAGTCTACTTATCGCCCGATCATTGTACCACACTAGAGCATTAGTTGGGGTATTATTTAGATACGTCAGATTTCCTTAAAGAACTAGAAATATCATTGGTATCGAAATTTGAACTTTTCTTGGCTGAATTGACGACCCGATTGGCGTGGGGAGTAGTGCCATAGGGTGTGGGTTCCATCCCCACTACTGGAAAAATATTGTGTGCTGAACATCGTGTTTTTCCAGTGTCTGGGTGTTTATACAGGGAGGCTTTTCTAAGTGTATCCATTTTTTTTATTAAATTCTAGACAAAAATAATGTTATCTAATAAATGCTAAATATTTAAAATCACTCGTAATTAACTGATTACATTAATTTGAACTTATCTCAAAAAGTGCGTGATTTATGGGCAACTCATTTACATTACGCGCGCTCATTCATAAACACGCACAGAAGTTGGTTTCAAAAGTATACGATGCATTTATGAATGACTACCGCATTGGCAACAAGATGTGTTTTTAGGGAATAGGATGCCATTTTTTTTTAAATAGTTTGTTTTTATTTCAATAATCGATTATACTACCGGGTCTGAACCTCCTTTGTGAATTTGGGCAACTTTATAAAAGCCATCCTGTATAACATGATAATAAAAAGCAACGAAATGTTACAAACAAAAAAAGAATTTTGCAAATCTGTCTATATATGACGAAGTTATGCCCGAACATACCTACATAAAAAAATATAAACATCCGAATTGATAACCTCCTTCTTTTGAAGTCGGTTAAAATACCTACTTTTTACTTGTATCTATAATTATAAAATTATAACTTATCACTTGACCACGACTACGTGACCCCCCTGGCACCAAAGCTGGATCCGCCCTTGGTTGAGACCCACTGGTGAGTTCACACGATGAGGTTTATTTATGCGCTAGTGTACGAGATCTAATCACTAAATGTTGTATCCTAACCATGTACCTATTCTTGGACGTTAATAGATAGTCGAGAATAAGCAAGAATCAATCAACTCTAAGTCAACTACAATAAAATGAGGATAATAATGTTTCTTGGTCATGATCGTGTAATTGAATGATCACAATATGGCATGAAACTTAAACTTCAATTTAAAGGTCATCGAGTTAATTCTGGAGGCTCAGCTTCTATCTGATTATAAATAGAATAAATTATTGATTAAGTATAAATTGTGTTTCGCCTCTCTTTGCTAAGTTTACGTTTTAGATGTCTACGCCCGGTTTATATTAATTTTGCTGATTTGTAATAATATATTATGCGTCATGCAATAATATGTTTGCAAAGATCATATTAGTCACCATTTTTCATGTTGTCCTCACAGTTTCGGGGCAGTATAATGTTTACAAACCTAAAACACTCATAACCTGCACTCGTAATCCTGTAAATTAAATTAAAGTATCCTTTTTCTCAATATTGTAATTCAATTCTTCATTGAATGTCTTATTCAATGAAGAATTGAATTACATCCATAATTTTTTTTCTTTTTTCTTTATAAAACCTTGCCCTTACTTTAGGATAACATTATCCTGTGTTGTAAGGACGTTTTACATACATAAATTTCACGTGAACAAACACCCAGATGCGAAACAACTATCTGTGGGTCGCACAAATAGTTATCCCGTGTGGGAATCAAACCCACGACCCCCGACACCAAAGCCAATACCTTGACGACAGCGCCACGGAGTCATCTGTTTAATATTAAGTATAATTTAATTTGAAAGTTTATATAATTTAAAACAGGTGCCCCTTGAAGTATGTTCAAACGGAGAGACCTGCAACGCGCACCTAGGTGGTTGCTCCAAAAAATCGGTGCCTGAATGCGATGTGGCCTCACAGAAGCATCAACATTCCTGTGAACAGGTATTTGGGTGTCAATAATGGCTTAGCAAAATTGTCGTCTATCCTAATGGTGAAAGATTTAACTGAAGTAATTCATCCAATTCATTTTCTCACCGGACCAAACAAACGTCATACTTGATAGGGTTTATCACGTTTACCTGAAACTGGAATCACGTGATTCGAAATTAAAAGATGGCAACGCATGTACAGACCCAAGAACGTTTTAAATGTCCATGGGCCGTGATTATCACTTAACATCAGATGAACCACCAGCTAGTTTGCGTATATGTCAGATAAAAAAAATCAAATTAACAATTTACGCATGTCCGTTTTAACGTGCGGTTATTTGAAAAATATTTATTTAACTTTAGTGCTAGGCTATGCACTGAATATAAAACTTAAAATATTTAGATAAAACTGTCGCCGTCTAAACCCCTAATTAGGGAGGTGCAGGTTCTTATACTGGCAGCAGAAGAAAAAGCCACAGTTTTAATTGTAAATTTTGTCAAATAATGTGTATTATCAATTAGTTTACCACCAACACCACACGGTACCAATCGGGTAAAACGGTACTAACATTCTAGACGTCTGTGGTAAAAAAAACGTCCACGAATCGCGTTGTAAATTCTTTCAGCACAAGGTTGATCTGGAATTATTTCAAGACCACTTCGCCTTCCTCATAACTGACATTTAACGAGAAACTGTAAAATCAATTGTAACAAAACTCTTAATAAGGCAATTTTCTGTAATAACAACTTAACCTAAATAAGAGATATTTTGTTTACACAGAATATATTGAGTAGTAATATCTTTGTGCAGATTTAATCTTTTGTAGAAGGTCAAGGCAAAAATTTGCGCGTTCATTGCGATACCTCAAATAATAACACTGATATTTCCGCTACGGAATTCCCTTGAACTGATTAAAATATTGTTTCACGGAGTGAAACATTCGTGCATTGTCTTGGATATGACAATACGACGAGTTGTAGCTTCGTAGATTATTTGCATTGTCTTTCTGTTGGAAAACAAAATCAACATTATAAGGTTTTTCTGTGTATCGAACATGGAAACAGAGGGCGGGCGAGACGATTAAATTTCAACTGTTTTATACTGTGTTGTATAATTCAACCATCACGGTTCATATGATACATCCTAGTGACAGACGGACAGACAGTGAGACAGACAGACAGCGAAGTCTTAGTAATGAGGTCCCGTTTTACCCTTTGGATACAGGAATCCTAAAAAGAGAAAATCCGTAATTTCTAGCTTTCTTTGATGAGAGACGTGAGACATTTTTATGTACGTTTTTCAGACGTTTCTTCATGGGGATTTTACTTACAATACAGTACAATGGCAGCTAGCACGAACAATCTGAACCATTACAAAATCCTTCAAGCCTTTTTCGTTATTTGTGACGATGTCATTATTGTCGTAAAGCAATACACAGACTTTCTTCCTTCCTAATATCTAAAATATCTTATCTTGATATAAATTTCCATTTTGTTTTTAAACTTCCTACCCCCTTGGTTTCAGCGAGAACGTTTAACGATATGCAAAGTGAGTCTAAAACCGTCATTAAGCTGAATGGAACTTTTCCAATCAATCAACACTGCTTCGCTGATTGTGCCCCTCGAGGGTTTGGATGACTCCGAACTTTTCAAATTCAGTCTTTAAGAACGCGGAAACAGTATACTTAAATTAACCACTTATTGATTTTTTTTAATATTTCACAATTAAAATGTCAACAAAGGCGCCATCGATATGTTTACGTTATGTACAGCAATAAAAAAACAAGAACGTCACGTCTATACGACATACCAGTGGCATATTAAACTTTTTATATACTTTACGTCACACCGCCTAATATGGTATATTGGCAATTGTTGATCAAAACCTACTTTTGAAGTTATACCAAGTAGGTTTTGGAATAATTCTGAGAGTAAAATTTTTACGATTCTCGAGCACACCAACAGGCAAAAAGCGACTTTACGGTATTACCATGACAACCAATAACAACTTTTTGGCACTTACTTATCTTACATTTACTTATCCAAGTTATTTAAATAATGTTTTCACATTTCCACAAAAAAGGACACTGAATGGCGCAGGGGAAAATTTATAGTTACCTATTTTTCTTTTGTAACGCTAAAGAAGTAAAAAGGTAACTTCTTACGCGTGTACAAAAGTACACACGTACTTTTTAGGGTTCCGTACCCAAAGGGTATGACATGTTTTTTTTTTTTGCCGTTTTAAAGATAATGGTACGGAACCTTGTGTGCGCGAGTCCGACTTACACTTGGCCGATTTTTTTATTACAGACTAGTTAGTGCTTGTTATCACTCACTTAATAGCTATTGCTAAAGCATCCTTGATAGTTAAAATGCACTGACTACCCCAGTAATGCCTGTAGAAGATACATTGAAAAGGAGCCAACAGATGCTTGCAAAGCCACCAAGTCATCATGTTACAACATTGCAAAACCGTGTGACTATATTACGATAATAACAATTAAATAACTCCGCAAAATTACTGGAATAAACTATCGCTGACCTTCCACCACCATTTTAAATGGAATGCTTGCGTGCGTTAAAAATAATCCTTCCAAAAAACAAAATAAGAAAAGGTAAACACTTTTAATGTTGAACTGAATTAACTTTAAATTAAAAGTCGGTAAATAAACGTAAGACTAAAGTATCCTCTCTCTTAACGTTTTATATGAACTTTCACTTCCAATTTGCTCTTTTTAACGTTATGATACCGATCCTTTGAGTTTATCGTTTTCACTTACGAAGATCTCTTTGCCCTTGTGATGCTTCTAAGAAATTGCTACATACAATTTCATCCTGGAGAAAAGTTCAGCAGTCTTTGCGTGGGGAACACAAAATTAATATTCAATTTGTGAACACACACAAGATTTAAGACGAATTAATTTCGGAGGGTTTTTTTAAGAAGGAAACGTTTTATTCAACTAAGCGTTCCTGTTAATAAAGTGCTACCTACCCACAAATATACAAATGCCACGATCCTACATACAACGCAATCCTGTATTAAAGCTAGTATATAAAGACGCTGGAGGAACTAAAACATATAACTCGTTACATTCATCCAACAAGGTCAAATTTAATCCAACAAAGGGCACGACACAATTATTTCTTAACATTCGATATCGTTATAATTTAAAAAATATTAAAATCTGGGGCCAAAATTTATGTGGCTCCCAGATAGTTTTTCGCATCTGGGTGTTTGTCCACGTGAAATTTGTGTCCTAAAGTAATGGAATTTAAATCCTAAAGAAAATGGCATAAATATCTACAGGATTGGAAATTCCATTCAACTAATTTTCTAGAACTTAAAGCTCTTAAAAAAACCGGCCAAGAGCGAGTCAAACACGTGCACGAAGGGTTCCGTACTATTATGTATAAAAACGGCAAAAAATTATGTATGATAACTCCACGTAAATATTTATAGTATTTGTTGTTATCGGGGCAATAGAAATACATCTGTGAAAATTTCAACTCTCTAATTATCACGGTTCATGAGCCTGGTGACAGACGGACAGACAGTGAAGTCTTAGTAATAGGGTCCCGTTTTACCCTTTGAGTACAGAACCCTAAAAAGTAACTTTAGTAAAAAACTCATAAAACTTTATAACATACCTTTTTTTTTTTAATATACCTCATAAGCACTACTTTTAAAGACTTCCACGTGAATTTTATAATTTAACTCTTTATAGTTAATTAAGTTTCCTGAAACTTTTTAGGTTGGAATTTTCCCGGATGCGTTTGACTGCAGGAAGTTCCACCTGTGTTCACCAGCGGAAGGTCTGCCGGATGGAAGGCCCGCAGACCATAGAGCAGCCTTATGTCCCAGACATTACGGTTATAATCCAATGAACGCGCAGTGTTCGGTGAGTCAAGTGTTCTCTACGACAATATAATTGTACTGTGTACTATGTTAGGGAATGGCCCAATGCTAATGGTACACAGAAGCCTGTTCATCCAACTATAGGATCTTCTGCTGGGGATGTGTCAACTTGACTGATGGAGTGAACTTCCAAGTTCTATGCACAAAATCTAAGCACTTAAATCTACAATACATTGCTTACATGTCATTTATTCAATTTAACATGGTGAATATAATTTCTACACCACTTCAAATGTTTTAAGTACTGGAACCTTTTAAATTTATCATAATTCAATTATTACATTTTATAAAGTGACTGTGAAAGAGAAAGTTGGCCTTGGTGTTAAATTTCGTGCAAAAACCAATATTTTACATGATGCCCCGATCTATAACGATGCAGCATTGTAAGCTCATTGTCTAACCTAAACATGGAAAATATTAGAACTACTTCTATACTTCTCTGTTATCTACGTCTCTGCTTCGATCTACGAGTACGTCATTAGGAAAAAAAGATGTGAGAGAGAGAGAGAAAGATAAGAGTTTAATGGAGCAACTGTAAATAGTGTGATGATGTTCACAATGTGGTTTGAAAATTCCATTGCACGTATTTTTATTATTTTTATTATTATTTTTATTTTTATATTCGCTAAACAATCTAGCCAAGACCCATAGCTTATCAGCCCGAGGCCGTTAGTTCCTTATCTTGAGGTTGATCCCATAAATAGAGCGGCGTTGTCCCTCGCGGCCGCTCCGTGTTTTCCTGAACTTTAACACTTCCTCCAAAACAATTTCGTGCATTGGTTACTGAATAATAAATCCTTTAGTTCTTTAGGTAAAATTTTAGCAATGAAGAGGATCTTCATGCCATAATCTTTACATTACGTTACACTAAGTTTTCAACATATGTTGCAAATTTTGTGCGCTTATAGGTTTTCATAGGCTGCCAGAAATTAAAATCTACGATGTGTAGATTACCACCACCACATAATTTTGTTTAGCAGTTTCTGCTGCCTAGTTAGCAGCCAGACGGACAATTTTAATTAGTGTATTACTTATTTTACCAAGGTGAGGCTTTCCAATGGACAATGCAGCGAAAAACCTGTACCGGATTGCACCGAAGTCGGACAAACTGGTCCCCTTACCACTAGCCCCAATCATTACTTCGTATGCCTGCTGAAGCGGGGAATTCTCCACCCCCAAGTCTTCATCTGTCCCCACGGATGGTACTTCTGGAATGGTTTCTGCAGACCGGAGCTACCTATAGAGAAAGCCACCGAGAAGACGCCCGATAAGACACCCGTGAGCAATTCAGGATCCAGAAGCGGTAGAAGAGGAGAAAAAGAACCGACGCCAGTCAAGACTACAACCACAAGGACTGAAGGTTTCTTCTCCACGGAGAAACCAGCTACGTACGCGGCAGATACCTTCCTAGCGGACAAATTCGATCTTACCAACTATGAATCGGTAGACGATGTGGCGCCGCAAAACGATGAGTACTCTTTCTCCTTTGAGACCGGCATTGATTGGTGATGCGTGGACACGTGGATAAAAACTACAAATATTTTATATAATAAAAATTTGCATGATATGACATAAAGACGACATTACATAGTTTTTAAACACATGATGTACAGATAATAAGTTCTGAGGGAGCGTAATGGAGGGCGGCATAATTTAACAGGTATGGAGTAAGTTTTCATCAAAATGACATGTATAACTCACGTTACTGCTTGTAAAATGTTTCAATCAAAGAAACAAATCTTATATTATACAAAATACATTTTAAGTACAGAAATTTTATTTCATCGTTCAGCGACAATTCCTTTTAATAGTTAAATCGATTTAGTATGTATCTTACTATCTAATGCAAATATGATAGTTTTTCACATCTACCTAATTAAATAATTGAGATTATTATACACTGCTGGACTTGAATAATTAGTAACACAGAAGCAAGAATTACTTATTTGTCTATAAACGTAGAATATACTTTTTTGCAACAAGGAAAAACATTTAAATATATTACAGGAATCATCGTGTACACACATAGGCGGCCTTATTGCTGAAGTTACAATTTCTTCCAAGCAACCTTATGAAATGTATGTACAAAACAATCGATGTATGACTTAAAGTTCAAGCACAAATAACAAATCATACATAAGACTACTGGATAAAGATCTCCTCTTTGCAGTATATTCGGACATTGTTCGTCATTCAGCCCCATTGCGGATTTGTAAACACTTAAAATGGACTACCATTTTATTGTGGTCAATGAAGAAACAAGTCTAAACCAATGTACGTCACAACAGTGGGAATGTATGGCCAGTATAAATGTTAAACATTCTCGGTACAATGTTTTCGGAGAATTTTGAAAACAATTACTTTATTCATTAGTTAAGTGAACATCATAAAACATATTTCTTTTTCTGTGTGCAAAGTTGTCAAGCGATTGGTAACCACTGTCAACGGACCACTACAACACCTGGGTGCTTGCAGGTTGTCAACGCACGTCAACAAGCAGTAAAAATGCGGGTCCCTTATACCTCACTCACCAGGCGAAACACGAAAGTATAACATTCCCACTTCACAATGGTCTTTGTGATTATGTAACAAATGAGTTATTTATATTGAACATTAGACTAAAATTCGAAACACTAAGATTTACATCACCTAAGTAACTGAAGAAGTAATTCACAAGAGGATGTAAAAATGACTTGAATATTTACCATTGAGCCTTTCCTCTTCAAATTACCTCTTAACGGCTCGATTTTGTAGACTAGTTGGCGTTCTAATTCCGAAAGATACTGACTTTCAGAATTTTCTCAGAGTCGTAATGTTTTTAAAGTGCTGACATTTCCTCCGCTCCACCCCTTTAAGATGGGGCATGTAGATACCGTAACACTCACAAAACGTCACGTCATTATCACGAAGAGGGCGGCGAACGAAATCAGCGCCGAGGCGGGCTCTCACGTCCGAAACAATCGCTTACTAGTAGGTTCTCCGCATGTAAAGGAAAGAGAGGACACTCAGTTTTTGCAATACGGAGCCCTTTTTATATAATAACTTAGATTACCTTTGTCACACTTGGCGGTTTGCTGGACTGGATACATCGCACGGTGCTTATACCTCCAGTAGTTGCTAGATATGTGTATAACGATATATGCTGTGTTATTTGTCTACTACGAAATACACACGTTAATAATTATAATTACATTTAGCTTATCTATCTAGCTTAGTATTCATACTCAGTTTTTTTAGTTCTTATCACTTTGTAAATAGATACTAAGTCGGTGTGAATAAAGAGCTTTATTAATATTTATATTATTACATTTAGATTAAATTATATATATATATAATAGTTTTATTCATAAACAAGCACAAATTACTCGGACTCAGTAAAGCCAAATAAACATGGACTAACAAATAAGTTAATTTATGTTTGACGGAGCGTGATAACTAATATGTACATGCGTCTTCCATGACTTTAAAATGTGTGCTTTCTAACCAGTAAAAATCAAACCTGGATCTCTGTCATAATTACCTTCACATTAGGCCAGACGGCTTCTGATTAAGGTTAGACCATTTCATTTGTTAAGTATTTACAAATGAATTCAAGAATTATGCGGTACTCCCACAGAAGACGGAGCAATTAAGTAAGCTAAGAAAAGTTACGAATTACATCTTAAGAATTTCGAAGGAAGGGAAATACCAAACGCATTGTTGAGTTAAAACTAAAATAGAGGGAACTGCGTTTTACGAATTTGTTTATAGTTATATAGATAGATTTAAAAAATGGAAAGGGTTAAGTAAGACGTGTCTTTACTCGATCTAAATATACATACATTCACCATAATCTTAATCGTAAGAACTATGATAATTCCGTTTTAGAACACGCCTTAATTCAGAATACTCAAGAAGTAACACACAACAAAGAAGTCGTAAGACATCATGAGAATGCCTCGTCATACAATACCGTATAATAAATGTCCTCGACAAAGTCCTTTATCCCTAGAAATACTTATAAGCTGACAATAACGGGTCTGTCCCGGTAATTGGGGAATACCTGGCGAACCGAGCTCTCCGTCGAGGATCCGCAAGACCTTTGTCCCTGAGCGATACAAAGGCCTATCTCCGAGATCTCAGTACCTCGCAGACTTCGCCTGTGGAACAAGTGTTATGAGGAAAGTGGCACATCTTCAAGCATATAATTGAGTATGTTTTACCAGCGGCTTCACTCGCTTACCTGTTTTATTTATGGAATAGTTGGTTTATAAGTAACTAGCGACCCGCCCCGGCTTAGCACAGGTTTAATGTATTATACATATGGACCCTCCTCTTGAATCACTCTATCTAGTAAAAAAACCTCACCAAGATCCGTTGTGTAGTTTTAAAGATCTGAGCATACATAGGGACAGACAGACAGCGGGACGACTTTGTTTTATACTATGTAGTGATACGTAACGGCAGCGTTCAATCTATTCCAAGCCTAATTCAAAATCTTATAGCATAATGAGGGAACATAAATATTTATAATCTTTATATTATACGTATTAGAGGCAAACATTTACACTAATTTTGAGAAACTATGTTTAAAAATACACTGACTATATTTCGACTCTTTGCGATAGATGGCGCTACGCTCTCAATACACAAAGTTGTAGCATTACCAATGATTATCTATGCAAGAAAAGTACTATTTAAACACCGATTGAGTATGATGAATGCATATAATCAATGAATGTACATTGCGAAATTCGTTTGGTTGGTTAAGTACAAAAGCATTAACAGCATACGTAGGCTGGTAATCACAGACAGTTCTGCGCTAGTCTGTTATATTTTTTTTTAACATTTTGCACAAGGTATTTCGCTAACTTTTTCGCGAATTATCTGCGGTCTGTGGCCGACGCGCTTTTTTTGGAGACCGTCCAAAAGTGGTACGGTGTACGCTGTCTGTGATATGCGCATTTCATTATGCGGTGTGCGGTCATTAGTACTCGTGTGATATTGTGGCTTACTGGGCAGGCTACGAACCCACTTCGGTACATCGTATATCTTACGGCTATTGTTATAAACGAAGGTTGAACATTCGTTACAATACGAAAGTAGATTAATGGCTAGAGAGAAAATAGAAAGGGAAGAACGGATGACCTTTATAACTGGTCAAATTATAGATGGAGCATACTTTATAATTGAACAAAAAGTGATAAAATTTAGAGATAATTTTACTTTCACCATAACTCCTGATTTACTAAAGTGTTATCACACGTCATTCTATAAAAAAATCTAACTGTTATCATTAAAAGTGTTTAAGGTGCTCTACTTATAATTGTGTCGTACTAAGAACCTTTAATGATTATATGTGTGCGTCAAATATCCAAAAGCAATGGCATTTCATCTAATTCTCTCCGGTCATAACTATTAGCCTATGTTAGGCCTTGCATACACAAGGAATAGGAATAAGAAGGTAGAATAGGTAGTTCTAGATTTGCGCTAATAATTGCTCGGTGGTTTTATACCATTTATGTTGTATTTGGTAATTACGTTCTTATATGTAATAATTGTAATAAAAGTAAAATCTATGAAAAATCTAGATCTGAGAAGAGTAGTTAGAAAAAAATAATTTTCCAAACGTCTTTTGAATAGTATTTACATTATTTCGTCTTTTTTTTTTATAGGTTGTTCTGCAGTTGCGCCCGCTAATTTTATGTTTCTCTTTATATAACTTTTTAATTCTTGTAATTTCAAGTCAAAACTACTATACATTAAACATTGGATTATTAACATTAATTGATCACAACATTTCCCCCTACACAACGCTTAGCTCAATGAGTAGTTACAAAAAAGTCATTACGATATTGCATCGCGCAGTTTATCTGACTTCACAATGTCAACATAACACTGTAACAAGTCACATGAGTTATATAATAATAACGATCTAATATCGAACCCTATGGGAAACCTATACATATCGCTTACAAATATTTCTTTATCCTTTGTATTTAACATTTTGCACATTCACAACAGATCTGCTGATCAGTATAGCCTCTTTCGCTGGTAAAATTCATTATTAGACGAAAGAAATCGATCGTTAATGCACTTAAACGATTTCTATCTCGAAGATACAAGATTAATAGCTTTTTGAACGCTGCATTGGTACAATTTGTTTTCTAATACGTCGCGAATCAAATATCTAATCCATAATAATATGCATTAAAATCGTCGTACGGCTTAGCCTGCCTGTAATTTTGCTCATGTAGGAGGAAGACTAATGACTTGCCAGTAGACGTAGACGTCTAATATAGAGGCTCTGTTGTTCGCATTATAATGTCAAAGCATATTGCGTCTTTGCTATTCGAATTTCGGAGCGCGCTGCCATTTATCTTTCATTGTAGATAATTTGCTCTCTACGGTTGCGAATTGAAATTTACGAATATTCGTAGATACGAATACCTTTCGATGAACTTACCGAGTTGCTGAAACTTTGGCCAAACGAGGCATTTGTTGGTCTGTTTTGTTTCATTCGTAAT